GACAAGGTGAGCTATCTATCTATCTCACATGCATACCCATAGACAGAGAGGACAAGGTGAACTCACATGCATACCCATGGACAGAGAGGACAAGGAGGTGGACAGTGGAACCAGCCTGCTTGCCAATCGCATTCCTAAAACGCACGTGTTGGGTTACTTAGGGCTTTTGACTTGGTGAGTTGCGAAGCCGCCTGGAAAACCCTCCTGAACTATGTACACCCTCCAAAGTTTGTGAGCGTCCTTCATCTGTTTTGTCATTATGTGTGTGCAGTAATACTTAATAATGGATCCACTGCAGAGCCCCTTTAAATCTGGACAGGAGTTAGACAACAGCATGTCATTACCCGGTCTCTATTTTCAAGTTCCTGAGTAAAATGTCCCAGGTGATCGGAGACAAGCTCTCCAATGAATTGCGGCTGACAATACCAAATGGACGGTAAATTATTTAATCTCCAGCAGCTCCAGTCCCAAAACACCCAGACTTCAGTATTTAAACTCCCGCAGCTGATAGTGCTGCAGTACACAACCTGACAAAAGTGAATCTCCAGATAATTGCCTTCATATGGACTTAGACACAGGAGGAGTTTTCTCAGATACGTCAACTTAATATTCAGAAAACCAAAGTCCTCATGCCATACTTCCACTGGTTTGGATCCACAATATGTGTCTACAGCATGTTGGATACCTTTCATATATTGGAAGTTACCGCTCACAGAAGGCTATGGTTGACAAAGAGATTCAGTAATTATCTGAAATACTGTACACAAGTGAGACTGTCCATCTGAGGAAGAGAATGCTGGAGAATTGCAACATTAGAACTGAAACTGGCTGAAACATGGCAGGCAGGATACACTTAAAGAGTCTAGGGTTATATCTCTAGAGCTCTTTAAAAAACACTTTGCATGTCAAGTGGGAGGACAGACTGAACAACAACAGCACTCTCTCTTCCAGACAGCACCACCAGCGCTGAAGCTGTGCTCATCCAGCATTGGCTCTGGATGTCAGACTCCAGGCTCCCAGAGAAGATTCTCTTCTCCCAGCTTCGCCAAGGCAATCGCACCAGAGGAGGCCGGAAGGAGTGTGTCAGAGATGTGGTGGACACAAACTCAAAGACAAAACGTCAACAGCCTGGGAGACTGTGGCCCCTGAACAAACCAGATGGGAGGAACATCTGGGAACATGTGGGAAGGAGCCCAGCACTTTGTCAGAACGAGGAAGCAAAGGGAAAGCACAGAAGTGAGCTGACCACAGCCACATCGTACAGTTGTCTCCCTAGAAACTCCTGCCCAACCTGCACATCTTGTATCGCTCATTTCAGTCCCCATTATCACCCGTTACAATCCAACCAGAAATCAGAGCCTTGAGAGAGGGGCTTCACAGAGCCAGCCTGATTCACCCTGCAGAGCGGGAGACTGAAGCAATTCTCACAATTCTAAAGCAGAAGCAGCCACCTATGTACACCTTTTTTGCATCACAAGAGCTACTCAGTTCACAAAAGGCTATTCATTCTAACGCTGGTCTTCCACTGACTGCCATCATATCTCAAGAACCCAGTCGAGCGCATCCTGTTCCTACTCCACTGTTTCTCTCCATCTTTTGTTCCTTCCTACCCTCTGTTTGCTACATACTCCCGCTTAGTAAGTCTTCTCATTATGAGTGTGCTGTTCCAAGTTCAAGGTTAGGTGTTTGGTCTGCACAGCCTGATCCTGTCAAAGACAATCTTCCACAATGACCACAATGGACAACCAATGCATAAGTGAATGTGCTAGCATGCGATACCTACTATAACACAGTAGCTGTATTCAAAACCTTGTGTCTTTAAAGGAGGATTTAGCCATTTTACTGCGAGAAATCACTAAAACATTTTAAGCTGCTCTTGCCTATTTCTGAGCAAAAAATCTGTTATAGATCTACAAAGAACATTGTTGACTCGAGTACAAACTCCCTACAGGACCTGAGAGTGGACCTTAATGATTCCCAGGCTCTTCAACATCAAGATCACAGGGCCACACAAACCTGTGAGTTAGCCTATTAAAACCTAGTCACAATGCTGCAATATATGCAAGTTCTTTTTCTCTATTTTTTTTCTGATTAGAGTGCCGATTTCAGCCTCCCCACTAAAATAAAATGAGAGAAAACACGCTGGAAGGGCTTCCAGTTGGGGGACATGTGACAGTGGATTTGGGCATGAGACACATGAGGCAAATTTATTTCTGGCTTCCAGTGGCTGTGCTGCTAAAAACCTGCAGGTTTCCAAGGACAATGCTGGCTTTGTTCTGTGGCTTTATGAGTTTTAAGCAGACAAATCTCCTTTTTGTGAATGTTTTACTGAGATTTGTATATTTTCAAAGACTTAATTCCTTCAATTTGATGCTATTTAAGGTTTAATTGTCCCTTTCAAACTCAGAAAAGATTAAATAAAAAAAGTGTATTAATGCAATGATTCACAGTTAAAATGAATGTTTAATACTAAAAACTGTTGACAATCTTGACAGATCCTTGGAAAAACCCAGAGTTCTTATAGAAAATATAAATACAGTAGTTAGCAATTGCTGGGTTAGCCTTGTGCTTTGAAATGGGAAAAAATATTAACCACACAGGTGACACTTGTACAATAAACCCTCTTAAATGATTAGCATAGTAATCTAAATGAATTGAAACAAGTTTAAATTATAATTGCGGACCACAGTTATAAATAGGATGGGGTTAACAACTTAATGTATAGCAAAGCTCAGCTTCAATTTATATTGTTAATTAAGAGGTAATTGAATGAAATGAAGTACATGCGGATGCTAAGTGTGTATTCAGGTTATGCACTTCAAAGTTAAAATCCATATCAAGTGAAGAGATCGAGAGCTAGTATTAAACTGCACCTGAATCCCCCCTCTCTGTAGGTAACCTTCATGCAAGGACACTATCCTGTAAAAGACTATTAAATCCAGAAATTCATCAGTGACTCTTTGCATAGAATTACTCCTCATTATACAACAGACTAGCTGCTTGGTCGATGAGCCCCTTATGACGCTTACTAAAGGAATGATACTTCCGAATGCTTTTCCTGCAATACTGTGCCGAGGGCTCCTTTGAAACAGCGATAGGTATGCAAGGTTTCTTTTCGATGGCTCCTTTAGAGAATCAACAGCCAGTGTTCCCACATCCCACTCAGAGAATTCAATACTAATTGAGACATTGAATGACTGCTTGCATCACAAGGCCGGATCGGTTCATCCATTATTAGTCCTTTCAGAGAGGTTCCCCGCGTTTTCCTAGGGGACAACATTCAATTGCAATACTCTGTGTACACGAGCTGCGAGATGTGGCACATGCTGAAAGAGCGTAGAGCCTACTGAAACAGCAGGATAGAAAAAAATAGTTTTTGGACATATTGGGGGGGAGAAAAAAAAGCTTGCCAAAGCATTTTAATTGAGCAACACCAATATTGTGTTATCAACAAAAGGGAATCTGTTCTTGGCCTTTTCATTTTGCGTGACAGAGTCATATGAAGCTCTCACCACAAGGCATTCAGCTTCAGCTTCTCCTCGGTATCCTGCAGCGCTTGCTGGATCTCCAGGTCCCCCGGCACGCCGCTGAACACGCAGCCTGCAAAGCAGTGGTCTTGAAGGAACTCTCCCTGCCACTCCATCTCTGACAGCTGGAAGCAAGCACAACACACATCGCAAGCCTGGCTTCCCAGAACATCCACATTTTCCCCTTATTGGCAAATGTGAAATGACTCAGTCACATTCCAGGAATCATTTCAATGAAAAAATATACGGATTATTTTATTCTGTTATACATAAACATAAAATTACGACATCTCAGAGACAGTTATTTGATTTCCCTATGGGCAGATCGCAGATTATACATCCACTGTATCATCTGTCTGACTTTACACCAACACCTGTGTGGAGTGAGTGTTTTATTCCTTTATTTTTTCTGTCTTGAGACAGGCCGAGGCACTGTGCGAAGCAAGGACTGATCATAAATGCATAGACTCGGTGAAGGACTGCAGGACGGTAATGAGTTAACAGAAAAGGGATCTTCATTCTCATTTTAAATAAACAATCCCCCTCTGCTGCTGTATTCTTTAGTACTTGATACTTAACATATCCTAACAGCAAATCCAGCACTGGGGGATCTATGATATCAACACAGTCATCATGAGTCAAGTGGACTATAATGGAGAGTGTCAGTGTCAATTTCACTTTCTCACACTCCCTTCCCTTCATCTCCCCTGATTTTAATAATCCCTGTCAAACTACAAACAGCCTGCGATACCTTCCTGACACAAAAGCCTTCAGCTCGAAGACAGAATCTCAACATTCATTTACCCCGTACAAAAGAAAGCTGTCCAGCTGGACAAATATTATTTCCTCACTTGACAATCTCTACAGTTAAGCTTGTATTTGTATTATTTCCTCTTCTCTCCCCCCACCAGCCCCTCTATCAGGCAGCCAGTTTATAAAGGGACCTGCTGCAATGTGCAGGGTTTCATTTGTGGGATTAGAAAGCCAACGATGTAATTATGGAGCAAAAGGAGAAAAAGGAAATATGTTACACAAAAGGCTGCACATCACTGCATGTGTCTGAAGTAAGCGAAAGCAATGATAAAGTGTCAAGTTTTTACTGTCACTGCAAAACCCTAATTAGGACAAGGCGGACTAGATTTTTTTTTCATTATTTATTTTGAAAACAAATGTGAAAACTTCAGAGTTTTTGAAAGCTGCCACACAGGGAAGACGTATTTATTCACACGGCAGTTACCACATCAAGTGAAACGAGCTCATCTCGTCTCTCACATACATACCACCTATACTGTTCTTGTAATAATGAGGAACTTGTAAAATATTTAGCAGCCTGTTCTAACAGTGCAGATGTGCAGCATTTTTTTAAAACATAGGCAAAAACCTTTGATTAAATTTACATCAATATTTTGTTAATTTAAAAAAAAGATGCATAAGCAAAGCCAAGAATGATAGACACTATTATAGTCATTGAAGATGCAAGTACATTTGAACATATACTGTAATTTTAATGAATACTTTGTTTCTTTAAACAGGTTTTGAATTAATCCATAATTCAAATATGCATATACTGAATGTATAACTCAAAATATATTTCAGATTAAAAAGTAACAACGATGGTGAGACAATGACAGCCTGTTACAATTAGAAGGTCTGCAGATTGTAAACTGTGCATTTAGAGAAACTGTAGGCAGTTTAATCATGAAAACAGTTAGCTTAAATCCTAGCAACTCTCCTTTCATTCCTATTCGCTATAAATGAAAATAGCTATTTGTGTGATGATCCCAGTTTAAACATTAGTTTTTATTCATAACAAAGGCCATCACCTTACAGCTACAGAACTAATTTTAAAAAAATGAAATTGAGTATTTCACTTAATTGTGCTTGAAGTCCAGCTGATTTTCAATAAAACTATTTAATTTATTAATCTCTGTTTCTTCTGATGAATATACCATAGTTTAGCGTAGGTTAAAGGTTAAACACAGCTAATTGTGAATATTTCTTATGAGAAAAAGAAAAGTCTTTGGCATACAGTGGAGGTTAATTGCTAAAAGGATTTTAAATGAGCGCCTTATCTTTTTATTTTGTGTAGTATTCAAGAATGTGGCATTGACTTTGTGCACTTAAAACTGTTAATAATTAGAGCTGTGCAATAAAATCCTTGAAACTTCTCTGGCCACAGGGCGAACAGGCTGGTTTCAGTCTGAGAGGGCAAGAGAAACCTCTCACGCAAGTGTTTCCTGAAAACGTCTCTGAAGTTCAGCAATATGATTCTTTAAATTATATGCCATACAACTTGACATTATTTACCCCAAGTTTGCACATTTACTACTATTACTACTATTAGAGTAGACTAACATTTTAGGTATTTCAAAGGTCTGCAATTTATTAAAGACCTCTTTTTTTAAAAAACAAAAGTTTTTTTTTTACTTCCATTATGCTGGTCTTTATACACTGGTAGAGATTTCCTAAGACATAGCCAATGCAACAGAATTGAATGCTCTGGTGTTCTATGTAGAACACAGGAGCACAAGCATTAAGTGAACTGAATACACACACAATACACAGTGAAACCACATGTAACTCAAACTTATCTCAAGTCTTCTGTTTGTGCACATGAACGTTGTAAGCTTGTGCAATTTTCAAGTTCTATTCTATTACCTTTGGTGAAAGCTGCCCATTACACGCTGTTATAAAAAAAAATATTCCAAAAAAACCAGAAGAAAAATCCTTAAAAAAATTAGATAGGACATGTATTACCATGCAAATAATATGTTAATATTTTACTTCATCAAAGGCTGAATTTTCAGAACACTTCCTCTGCTGTGAACCAGCCCAGCTCAAGCAAGAAAATAACAAACCAATCTGGGATAGAGTCCTCCCATCAGAAGAGGTCAAAGCCTGAGCTCTATCTCCGTTTTCCATTCAAATAGCAGAAATGCCATTTTTCATTGTTTAAAGGTTATTTATGCTACAGAATCGTCATAAAATCCATTTCTGGATTGTTGACGTTGTCTTGGAAAGAGGTGGATGGATCCTTGCTTTTCTTTTTCAAAGGAATACTTAACAGAAAAGGATTGTCAAACTGTAGGGCACATTTATTGGGCTTTTAGTGTGAACAGACACTCTGATAACATATCTTTTGAGGGCAGAAAATGGGGGGGGGGGTCTAGGAACTGTCATTTTAAGGCCTTTAGAAACAACTCCCTGTCGTTTAATGGGGGGGGGGCTAAACAGATGGAAGAGTCCAACAGCAGTGAGTCAGCTTTCTGTATCCGAGAGACTGATCGCTTCTAGTACAGTATTCAATGCAACTACGTGTAGAAAAGCAGACAAGGAGCACAGAGAGAACACAGTACCTTGAGTCAAACGGCCGAGTCCCGGGACTTCCTTCCCACTGCCTGTGGACGAGATGGATGACTGTTTAAAACACACTTTTAAACTGGGGTCATAGAGTGAAAGACTCGTCTAATACTCAAGGGAACCGCCAATGCAGTATCATCTTAAAGTGTCTGACAGCTTACTGAACGGTGGTTCAAACCGCGACAAATGTCCAGTTTCCCTGGTACTCACGAGTTCAAACCACATTGCAAAATAAATGAATCATTCCTTTATCAATTTACTGAGACCTTTCCTTTATTCTGAAACTATCGTTACAAGAGCATACATTGCTCCACCTATTTAACAGTTGCAATAAATATGATAGTAATAAAATTAATTTACATTTGTTTATAGTGCAAGGTCGTCAGTATTTTTTGGTGAGGTATGTATTCCCAAGTTTTGAAAACACATTCAACGGTTCTCTGATAGACTTCTTGCAGGTGCCAATCAAAACGACGACCCCAGTATTTTGTAGTTGTCGTTTGTTAAAATATCAGCCAATAAATCCGAGCGAGATCATAAAAAAATCACACATACTGTATGTTGTTTAGACGTGGCTTTGAACAGTTTTATGTCCAGCGTTTAGGCTATCGCCAAATGTTTATTTACGTTTTTTTTTAAACACTACTAAAAAATGCTTATGAGGCGTCCGTGTGCGTTTATAAAAATGATTCCGTTTCAGCTAGAAACACTGAGTGAGCGTACCAGGACCCACAACGGGGAACACAGATTGAAATTAATCTCCCGCATCATGAAAGTGAAACCCTCACTCCTCTCACAGCCTAAGAGCGTCTCTAACAACCAACCGGAAGAAACAACCATCAACTTCCGCCGCAGAGGACTAGCACATCACGGTTTTCTGGGTGTTTGAGGTGGTCCGACGAATTATATTTCAGAGACATAAACATTCATCAACTAATACAATATATATGTGACGTCTTAAAAATTAAAATATATTTGGTAAAATGTACATAACATTGAATCTAAAGTCAATCCCGGTGTTCGGAGCCGACACATGCCCGTGTTCACCCCTGTTATGGAAGTGAAACAGTCCGCCCGATTGTCCCCACGAGACCGGTGAGACCGGAGCATTCGCAAGCGGCAGGGGTGTCTGTGTTTGCGGGTGCGAAAGGTTGGTGCGGGTGCGTGACTGGAAAGGGACTTTCTTCCCCCCCCCCCCTCCCCACGGCTGATGCTATTCGCGAGCTCTTCGAGACAGATTCCACTTCCGCGCCACTTGTTGTGGTGGATGGTGGGGTCACCTTGCGGGTGGTGTTCTGGCGGCCCACCCCTGCTCGTACAGGGATGGTACGCCCCCGGCCGGGCGCGTGCTGGCGGTCTGAAACCTTTTGGCGCTAAAATGAGCGGCGCTGGCAGGGGTGGGGATGTGAGCGGTCTGCAAGGTACGTCACGGCCCTAAAAATACTGCGTTATTAAACTCGTGTCAGTTATTATACAGCGGGCGCCCTGTGTAATTCTGGCAGTGGGAACGGTGTGATGTGGTTCACTTTTTGGCGTGAGGCTCTGGACTCCCGTCACAGCTGCTGTGACTCCGTGTCTTTTGTTTTGATTTTTTTTTTTGTTTTGGTTTCGGTTCCGCCAGCGCGGTCGCCTGCTCTGAACACCTGGAGGAGTTTCACGTCTCACCCCCCGTGTGGGTGAGTGACCGTGGGGTTTCTCCCTGCGGGGTAAACCTCTGCCGGGTGTCCAGGAGACACCGCTAACTAATTCACAACGGGGAGAAGAGGAATAAAAGGTGCGAGCCTTATGGTTTTAAAGGCGTCTTTTCTTTTTTTTTAATATATTTTGAAAGGAAAGGAGAACTTGCCATTTTTTGATAAGCTTGGGGTTCGTGTTTCTAAGACAGAAAATAGTACAGCATCTTAATATTGGTTTTCCTCCAGGCCAGATCGAAACAACCTTGAAACGGCTAGCAAACGTACTATATTCACCCCCCCTTGGACCTTTTCACATTAATAGACGCCCAATGTATTTATTTGGGGCTTTTTGCCATTGATCAACACAAAACACGCTATAATGTCAAAGTGGAAACGAATGTGAGAACAGATCCTACTTAATCAGTTATAAATACAAAGCAGAAAATAAGCATTTGCATAAATATTCACCCTCCTTCACTATGACACGCCTAAGTGGGCTCTGGTGTCGCCGACAGATGTCTTTACCAGTCACATCATTTGTTGGATGGGGTCCACCAGCGCGCAGTCAGGGTGTTTCACATGCGTTCAGGATAAGTGTAACTGAACACGTCTCTGGGAGGTCCCACGGTTCATTATTACAGCTCCCAACACAAGTTACATCATGAAGACAAAGGAGCTTTCACAGTAAGTCATGGAGAGGGTTATTGAAAAGCTCCAGTCAGGGGAAGGGTATAAGAAAATTTCCAAGGCATTACATTATATCCCCCAAAGCACAATAAAGTCCATTCTAAAGAAATGTAGACAATATGGCACAACTGTGAAACAGAGTGTCCTCAAAAACTGAGTATCTGTGTGAGAAGAGCACTAGTCAGTGAGGCCATCAAGAGGCCTGTGACACTTCTAAAGGAGTTAGAGTCTTCCATGGCTGAGATGGGAGAAACTGTGCATATGACATGGGTGCCTTGTCACTGCATCAGGGCCTGGAAGAATTGTGACGTTAGAAGGAAAAATGGATGCAGAAAAGTACAGAGAAATCTTGGAGGAAAACCTGCGACAGTCTGCAAGGGACACTGGACCGACCCAAAACATACGGCCGAGGCCAAGCTTTGGAGTGGCTTGGAAAGTCAAAGCCCGGACCCCAATCCAGTCAAGCATCCGTGGCAGGAGTTGAAAAATTCCTGTTCATCAACTTTTTCCCATCCAACCTGAGGGAGTCTGAGCAATTTTGCAAAGTAGAGTGGTCAAAAACTGCGGTGTCCCAGTGTGGCGATAAACTGAAGCAAGCAGACCCATTACCGTGATTTCTGCCAAGCATGCCTCTCCCACATACTGATAAAAAGGGGGTGAATACTGTACAGTATGTGATCAGTTATTTTCTTTTTTAAATATTGATCATTAATTTAGGAGGATTTGTAGAATTTCGTTTTCCCTTTGACATTACAGAGTGTTTTCTCTCGATCAGTGGCGAAAGCTCCCGGTTAAATATATTATGATTCTTTATTGTAACACAATAAAAATACAGTGAAGTTCATGGGGGAGGTGAAAAGTTTTAATTCCCTCTTTCTCACCAGCTTCAGTCTGCAGAAACGGGGTTGAGAGATGTCAAGGAATGTGTTGTCTCTCTAGAATGGCTGCCGAGCCGGAACGCGTTTTCCAGATCTCTGGAATCCGAAACGCAGAGACGAAGAGGAGTTTGCTGAAGTGCATTTCCAGTCTGGGCGGGATATACGCTGGTGGATCGGTGAGTTGGGGTTTGTGTCCAGTCCTGCTCCCGGAGTGCTGGTGTCTCTGCCGCACTTCCAGTTCTCCTTGAATGACCAGCTGGGGGGGATCAGCTGAGACAGTAACCAGCTGTCAAGGGCTGCGTTGGAACGACCGTCCAACCCACATTCCCACATTCCCACATTCCCACATTCCCGGCGGGACCAGCACCCTGAAGTCAGGGAATGACAAGCTCAGTTAGGTCTTTCAGAGAAGAAGGAGTGATGGCTGTCGGTGAGCGACATTCTGCACCTCTGATTAAGCACTTGGTCGTGTTTAACAAGCGGCTCATCAGCGGCTGATCGGCAGTGGGTCTTCTAAAACGGTTCTGTTCTGCGCGGTTGAGAAAGGTGCAGTGCCCTGTTGGCTCAGCTTTAGGAAGCATGCGTCCACTCTCTTTACACCACACCTGGAGCAGAGGGCAGCGGATCTCGAGGAAACCCCCTTCATTAAAATGCTCGTCCGTCAATATGATTTTCGCGTGTGACAAACTTTTTTGCTTTCGGGTCTTTGATTCTGGCCAGCTTCATTGAGTTGAATTTTAATCTAAAATGATGGAAGGCTACGCTGTACCTATCACTCAGTTGATTAGAATAATAGCAGCTGAAGGTTAGATCTGATAGCTGACCTAATTTGTTCTGATATTGCAATGTATTTTTGACTTTTTAATTTTATCCTCGCCCTCAATTGCCTCTTTTTATAGTCATTGCACCTTCTTTGCAGTGATTGTAATCCCCTGAGCTGAAACTACATTATAAAGTTCTTGACCTTTTTTTCCCTTCCTACGAACGTGAGAAAAAGGTTACAGATGAGAGGAGACCATGTTGCTTATCTGGTTGTTAGTGGCCTAATGATGCGAGAATCCTTTAAGGTTTTTATTGAAAGCCCCTGGCGAGCCAGAGTCCGTGGCTCTGCTGTCGGCTCCATTTACCCTGATCTTTCTGGACAGGCTCGGATCTAATTCGCCAGGCAGGTCTTCCGGAAGTAGGAAAAAACAACCTCCGCCGGGTTTATTTCCACTCTGCTTCACAAACCTGTCCTTGTGGTGTCTGTCGACCGATTTCCTCGCTCTTTCTCCTCGAGTGGCGTCTGCGGAGTTCTAGATATCCTTTTTTAGCAGCAGCAGCAGCAGCCCTTTTGTTTTCTTGACGTCATTTTGACGGGCGTCTCAGGGCAACAGGGGGTCGAGAGGGCAGGAGCGAGCCTTCCCCAAGAGGCGGAGGCAGAAACACAGCCGATGCTTCAGAATCCTCAACGGCAGAAATCCAAAGAGGGGTCAGAAATGTTTGCCTTCATCTCCTCAGCCTCTCAAGCCATGTGAAGTGGCTTGAGCTGGTTCCCGGGATGCCAGTCTTGCCCTTGTTGGCAGCTGTTTGAGTCTTTCTCTTGCTGCCGTCACAACTTGGTCATCAGTCCCATCAGGAGTGACGGGCCAAGGGTGTTCCCGACCGGCTTTGACATGTGGCCGACAGCGAGCAGACATGAGTCCCCCGATCGGGTTGAGATGGGCTGGTAAGACCAGGGTCCAGGCTGGCAGGATCCATGCGTGTGTCAGGCCCGTTCAGCGTTGATAAGTGACTGGATCCTTCCGAAGGTGATGACCTCAGACGGGCTTTAAGACCCAAACCCTGGGTTCTGGTGCTGGTGCAGCCAGCACTCGTATGCCCATCCTGTCTATCGTAAGGTGGTGTAGCTTTATGTGGGTGTGGCAGGATGGCCCCCCAGGCGACTTCGCCCCGTGCTGGAGGGGGCAGATAGAGGGGCACACTCTTCCCAGAAGCCATTTATGCTGGTGCATCTACGGTTCTGGGTGTGGAGCTCTCAAAATGCTCCTCGTGTTGACCACGTCGAAAACTACTCGTCTGGCGGGGGAACGCGAATAGATTGGGATACCAGTGCTGCTGTCACTGGGTTTTGTACTGGCGGCTTCAGGAAACAGCGACTCTTTAAAAACTTCTTACCAAGCTGTCCTTTCTCATGTTAATGCTCATGGCCTCATCACAGATTTTACCAAGCTTATACTGACGCATTAGAAATCCTCATGCTTTGTAACTGTGGCTGCCGCTCCCCTTGATAGAGCAGGTCTTCCTGGCAGCTGGAACTGAGGAATGACGCATGTGTCTGTGTGTGAGGACAGTGGATACGCAACCTTCTTTCTGCATTGTAAATCAGAGGGACTTTTTTTTTTTTATTTACTTTTGAGGCGATCCTCCGTGATCGGCACTCTTCAGCAGCTTCATGTGTGCAAAAGGTTTAATTGTGTAATTGTGCCATTGTATCTCGGCAGGCTTACAGTGAGCGAACCACACACCTCATCGCGAGGAACGTCAGCCCCAGTGAGAAGTTCCTCGCGGCTTGCGCTGCAGGTAGGTCCAGCGGGGGGCAGAACAAGAGACCCCCCCCCCCGTGTGACATCTGTGCTCCGCCCCCTCTCTGCACTCTGGGCCTGGATCTGATCCGCACTTTCAGTACCAAGAAACAAGGAGTCGTGGGGGTTGGGGCAGAAGCTGTTCACAGGTGGCGTCTCCTCGTTCAGAAAGGGCTCAAGAGCCTTTAGTCTCGGATCCGACTCGCAGCTCAGGGTCAAAGGGGTCAAGTTCTTGGCTGTAGGCGAGCTGTGGATGCTTAGGCACGTTGAGAGAGCCTTTGATCCGTGTTTCCTTGGGGGTACGGAAAGCTGGATGCGGTCGAGACCGCGTTGTGAAATTCTGTCATTCGGTCGTGGAAGGGTGGGTTTATGAAATATGTCATCCGCTGGGTTGTGTCCACGTGCTTACGGAACTGCAGCTGATTTTGTGAAGAAAAGAAACATCCTGTAACTGGGCTGTCGTGACCTTGGTCACAAACTGGTCGCACCGCTCAGCGGTTGTTTCCTGTCGCCTGTGCGCGTGGGGTGCCCCTGGAGTGTTTGTAACCAGGGCGTCTCCTTGATGTCCTTCCTTGGGCCCAATCTGCCAGTTTGCGTTTCTGCCCGCCGGCTGGCAGGAGTGGGGTTTTCTGGGCCCGGACGCCCGACGGCCTCTCGGCCAGGCCGGCAGGGCTGCTGAGTTTGCGTGCGTGCTTGTGTTTTTTTCCCCGCCGGCAGGTATCTGGGTCCTGCGCCCCGAGTACGTGACGGAGAGCGCGAGAGCCGGCCGCTGGCTGGCCGAGGAGCCCCGCGAGTGGGGGAGCCCCGCGCGGCGCTGGCGGGGGCAGGCCGGGGCGTTCCGCGGCTGGAGGGTTGCGCTGCTGCTGGGCGACGCCGGCAAGAGGAAGGTGTTCGAACGGTGAGGCTCTTTCGGGGGTGGGGGCGATTGCCTGCCCTGCGCAGTGTGGGGGCCGAGCTGGTGGGCGGGGCGCGAGTGCCTGGTTCAGAGCGTGGGCAAACTGGGGGGGACAGGGGTGCACCCTGGTCTGGTTGTGCATGATGAGACCAGTGCGGCGTGGGCACTTTGATGAGGGGCGGCTTGGGGACAGTACCCTTTTTTTTTTTAATAGCGCTGGGAGTTTTATTTTTTATTATCGGCTGGTAGCGCAGAGGAGGGGCGACTCATTTTACTGTCTGCGCGGAGGTCAAGTGTTGCTCTACGACTCGCGTTTCCCTTTGAAAGACAGACGGATCGACGTCCTGCTGGTGCTGCTCTTGTTGCAGGATTCTGAAAGCCGGGAAGGCCACGGTCTATCACTGCCCGCCTTCCACCCAGGAATTTACACATGTTCTGGTGAAAAACATGAGACAGGAGACACCACCCTGCGGGGCTCCCTGCTACTCGCTGAACTACATTGCTCAACATTTATTTGAGGTACGTAGCCGTGAGGGTGAAGGTTAAAACAGACAAGTAGTTATTATACATAGATAACGAGCTTCCAAGTAGATCATGTACTTGTGCACAGTTAGCTGTTTCTTTTTTTTTTACATTATATGTGTCGTTGTGCGTTATTTGTTTGGCAGTTGAGAAAATAAGGGTGTTCAATGTGCTTCAATTTTAATCTCGGGCAGCCTTTGATATCCGATTGTGTCTCTGTCCCCTCCTGTTGGACTGCTGTTTTGAAACATCTTAATGACTGTGGGAGAGAGTGGGAATCGGGTTGAAACATAACTTGTCAATAGGTGTCTTAACACCCAAGGGGGGTATAGTTATATGAAAGTCAGTCTGGTAGAAGTAGAATTTTTGTTTTGCTGGTTTGTCATAGAATATTTTAAAACCATATATAATATGTACATCAGCACCTATAATTTACAGTCACTTCTTAATGACAGCTATTTATTAACCAAAAGTTAAGGCTGTAACAAAGCCTATGAGTTCATACTTTATGAAACTGGCTGTCTGTGTTTATTCTTATGACTATTATTGGGCTGATGGGTGTCTCCCCTGGGACCTGAGCCCCCAGTGTGCACTCCAGATCCCTGCTGCTCTGGGAGGTGTGGGCCCTCAGGTGCAGAGGGTGTGAGAGTGTGAGAGAGTCACGCCCTCTGTTCTGCTGCAGGAAACGGAGAGCCCCAGGGCAATGCCACCGCCTCTTTCACCCGACGCTCAGCAGAGGCTTTTCTCCGAACTGGAGCTGAAGCTGAAGGAGCACGTCCTGGCACTCGAGGTGAGAGCGTGCTGGAAGGCTGGCTGGGTGCCGCCGAAATCCCTGCCATCAAGAAACACGAGACACTAAGCAGACCCTGGCACCAGACACCCACTGCTCCACATGTAACTCCAGACTCCTTCTCTTTTCCCCTCTCCCAACCGGAACTCAGGATGGGTTCGCGCTTGTCAGTCTCTGCTGTGGGTGATCCCTCGCAGGCAGATTCACCTGGTGTGATCTACTTTGCAAGATGGCTTTCGCGTAGATGCTGCAGCCACTGTATAAAGTAGTGGCAGCCGTTTTAAAATGAAGGACAGAACAGAAAAATTCACAAATCTGCAGATGGCACACATTGCTGTTTTGCCCAGAAGGAGATTGACGGGCTTCGGAAGGTTACTTTTCCCCGATCGCTGACGTGAAACGGGGGTGCAGAGCAGTGGACCACCAGGGCCAGTCTGCAGTTCGGCACACATATCTTCTTTCGTGCCTCCAAATGTAGGAAAGGCCTGGCTGCAATGTTGTATGATGTATTTTCCCCCTTTAAAATAATTACTAGCCCTTAACATCTGATTTTCTTTTTTTTTTAGGTTTTGCAAGCAAAATGTGCGTCTGTTGACTTCCAAAACTGCTACTCCACGGCGGACTGCA